TAGTATAGTATACAGAAAGACATTACTTAAGAGAAGCATATTTACATGTAAAAAAATAGAAACTAAAACAATGTTCGGTCACTGTTATAAAGACATAACACAACGAAAGCTTGAATAATGGCCAAGAACTTTTCATTACACTGAGGTAAGAAAACGATTCTAAAAGTTAGAAATCAGGTCATTGTTTGAGTATAAAGTTGTGTAACTGCACTCACTGTATTCGTCACTGTTGTTGATTTAACAGTGCGCTGTTGTAGTTCATCGTCACTATCATGATAATCACTATCAGGCTCATTTCTCAACAGTGTTCGTGATGAATCTGAGTTTGGCAGAACACTTCTAGCGAAAAATACAACAAAATTAAATTACAAGTTCGGTTATTAGTGCCAAGTCACTCTACGTTACAGCGGCTGTTTTGAGTATTTCGTTTCTTTACGTTTTTGTCGAACAGAAAATTTATGAGCCAGTTGATTAAACTTTTCCAATGAATCTAAAATACAAATTTCTTAACTAAACCATTCCAGTAGAACAGAGAACGCGAGCATACTTTTGCCCATATTTCTTAAGCGTGCAATGAACTCTTCGTTTGTTTCTGTTCTTTGCGAATCGAAATCAAGTACAGATGGAAATACATTATGATCATCTAAACACAAAAGCCAGGCAAATGGTGTCAAAAGTGTCTCAGAGTTGAACTCACCACTTCCATACGAATAACCAGTGTTGTGTGTAACAGGATCGATCGGTACCATTGAAGCTATAAAACGAAGGAAACTTTGAATCAAATATGAAAGTTTGAGCATTGAGTTTGCATACTTTTCGGTGTTTGTCCTCTCTCAATTTCTGTCAAAGCATTTTGTAGCATTCTCGCGCGAACCTTTGGTGTTTTCGGTTGCTCAATGATGGGCGGCGTTGGTAAAGTTGTGTGTTTTGTACTCAACGATGGAATATGGACAGATTGAGGCACTGGATGAGAAGCACGTCGATGTGAAGGACGAGATAATGTTGTTTCCATTTGATCTAGAAAGAAGACATAGAAAACTTATACAAGTGCTAGACGAATCGTAGTTTCGGAATTACCGGTTTTTAATGCTGCTAAAAATTCCTTATTCTTTTTTAATTCTCTCAAAAATTCTTCATTTTGTAATAATAATGCTAGACGTTCGTCTTCCAAATAACTTTTCATTTCATCACTATGGCTGACAAATGTCAGTTGTTCTAGTTGCTTTTGATTTTCTAACATTCGATGGCGAATTGACGACATATCATTGGGATGACGATGTGGTTCGTAAGGCATTGAATTACGCTAAAAGAAAACGAATCGAAATACTTTTCTCTCATGTGTCGGAATTAATAGTCTTACTCGCTGTTGTTCATGCATTGTTTTACTTCTTTGTCTCTCTTCAGTGTTTGAAGGCGGTATTATTCTTAGAAAGTCTTCAGCTAAATTACCCGTATAAACAGTTTTATATTGGCCATAGACAGTTTTCCATTTCACAGCAACAAGACCACGGTTGCTAGAACATGAACTAAATTAAGAAACGATGAACTGTATGAAACACTGACAAGAAACTTACATTGGTGTTGAATTTGTTGGTTCAAGTGATGATATTGAGCGATGGTAAGCAGTTGAGAGTTGAAATGTTGGTGAGGAATGCGACACTTGTGGCAAAAGCTTAAAATAATTATTTCTTGTGCTTGATGGCGATGAAACAGGTGGACCAGGATAAGGTGGCGGGTCATCGTCATATAAAATCACTGGCAGTTGACGAAGAGGAACAGTTGGTAACGACTAAAGTATACAATAAAGCCTTTTAGAAAACACCTGACAACAAGCGCTACGTTCTGTCTGAATTAGCCATTAAAAATAGGCACGCATCGAAATTTACCAGCATGTTTTACTTTTTTTAGATCAGATTGATTCCAAAGCACAAGATATTCAACTTTTTGACGACTTAGTTTTGAAGAGCAAACATTTTTCTACTGAATAAGACACGGTGGAGCTCTTTATCCCTTCTTGCCGCAGTGCTTATTCCCCTAGTCGAGAGTCCCGGTAGAAGTCCCGTTTTGTGAAAAAGTCCCGATGGAATCCTGCGGGACTCCCCCAGGAGTTTTTTTCCTCAAAAAATCCATAGGGAGTCAGTCCCACGGGACTCTAAAAAGAGTTCCGCTAGAGTCCCGTGTACAAAAAAGGTGGCTGCCTGTACTATATAAACTCTTTCACTTTTTAAAAATGTTAGACAAGTATAGATATGCATTTCTATGAAGGATGTTTTTCTTCGTTAGAAATTTGCATAAGACAAAATAAACGTCCGATATGAACGAAATGAAAACATCGAACGATAAATATATGCTTCTTCTATAGAACACATAGACCTATATGATAGCTACGTGTTTGATGATAATATAAAGCTTTTTCTTCTGATTTTGAACGATTTCTTTCATATTCAGACACTTATTTGATGCTTCTACTTACTGTAGTTCATATCTGCTCCTCTAAGTGTTTTAAAGCGGAGTTAATCAAATCAAATAAAAAGAGTAACTAATTTGCAAAGTAAGTACACATCAGTGCCAGTAAGTGAGAGAATATAAATTCCTAAATATAAATTTTACCATCGTACAGTTCCTTCATGCATTTTATATAGATCAAAAATGTCTTTCTCAAAAAATGACTTTTTCGATGGTTTTTCTCTCAATCGATGTTTACTGTGCAAAGATCTCGAAATAAAAATGCACAGAAGTGAGAAATGTATAAAAGGTTGATGGTTTTATAACAGTTGTGAATATCCTTGGTGTAAGATCGCTTTGCTGTTAGTGGCTCTCAGGACATAGCGACGATCAGTTTGGTTCTGTCTGACGCATAGAGGATTGGGGCTGAGCCATTCCGGCTTATTCACAGAACATTAGATTGGCTCTAATAATGAACTGATCTTAGCGATAATATCTGAGAATATACATTCTCTGAAAGTCCAAGCGTGAATGTTTTCTTCACATAAGGCAAATGTTACCTTATCGGTAATATTCACACGCAAACCATAAGACAACAACCGCCCTCACTTTTATTTTGAGATTAAATTCCAGTTATACGTCGGACTGTAATTGACAAATACATGAGAGAAGTCTAAGATTGAAGCTGTTTTAGAAGTACCAATCAAAATTTTTCTAAAGTTCAAAACACCGTTAGCATAATTCCCATGACGGGTAAAGAAGAATTCGAGAAAGCATGCTAAGTACTTATTTTAAGCTCAACCTCGAAGCCAGGCTGAGGTGAATCATTCACCTTGATTGCATTATGTTCCTGAAGAGAAAACCGGGTAAAACATAGTAAAATCGATTTCTTAGCTATCCTTAAGAAACAAACTAAAGAATAGAACCCAGTACTATGAAAAATAGATTTCCGAGAATAAAATGACTGATTAAAATTTGTCATGTAAATAAAAGACTCAATTAACGAAAGTTATGAATATTTAAAACAATAATCCGTTATTTTCACTTTTTACAAGACTTTCTTACAATTTAATTCAAATTACAAATTCAGTCACAATATTGTTATTATCTTGTCGCGATCCTGGCCTGATCTTGTCGAAATATGAATCCTTCCGGGACTCTGGCGGGATATTTTTCAATTTTGTTTAGACTTTTTGGGGATGTACCGGTGCATGCCTAATTAAAACATCGTTCTAAACTGTTCTGTCGCTTTCTCATTGTAAAGTTTAAAGCCGTTTCATGCCTGATGAATATTGTCTGATGTCTCACAATCGATGGACATTGTTAACAGATGATCGATCGTTGTATCCATTGATCCGTTATTAGCTAAGAGAACACTTTCGATGACATTATTATCAAAATTAGAAAACATTTTCCGTAATTCGGAAACGCTGTTTGAAGAAGAAGCTGGCATGGATCTAGTCGACGATGACATAGCT